AGTTGGACATAGTGTTGTATTAGAGGTAAAAAATGATATAAATACTGTTCGGTTTCTCGCACAAACCGATCGTTTCTTGTCTTAGGACATCAATGTGTCGTCACGAGCCGTAGGGTTTAATTTGGATTTGTCTGTGCATGTTTTTTTTTACTCTCATAGATTTTGTTACCATTGCCATGCATTATACGACTGACAGACTGCAACAGCTGGACTTAAAAATCTCCGTTTGTGTTCTACTGAAGAAACAAAGTCACCTACATCTTGGATGCCCTGGGGGTAAGCAGATAAACATCACATTTTCATTTTTGGGTGAACTGTCCCTTTAAGGACATAAAGTTGTAAATATCTTAAATGGTATACCAAATGTCTTATTTATCATTTTAGGAGGTCTTAAATTTGGGGACGAAAAAACAGGAATCATCATACAGCCAAATGTGATTATTAAACTTAAAACGGCTGTGATTTACAGATATATTCCCAGTAGCTTTGGTACTTTTGTCAGAGCACAGTTGAAATTCTCACAAGTACTACTTCAACCTTAACATCATCTCGTCACTTGTACACATCATAAATGCAATTTCTCATTCTTTTAACTAAATTACCAATGCATTGGTAAATGCTGCGATTGATTATGTACAGTTGTTGGCTGTTTCCTGCATATATTGTACTGGTTCTCTGTTGAATAGTCTTATCAAAATGACTAGGCAAAAGAATGAGAGATTGCTTTTATAAAAGCAATAAGGTACGAGAGGCTGTGCTGTATTGTGAATAAATCACGGCTGAAGGGCGTTGTTAGTTAGTACCCCTTCAGCCGTGATTTATTCACAATACAGCACGGCCTCTCGTACCTTATTGCTTTTATAAAACGGTTACCACACAATAAAAATATTAAAAATCAAAAATGTATGTATCGATGTGTTACTTTTTTGAAGCAGTTTCCTTAAATGCTGTCCTTCTGCTACAAATAGTTCCTGACAGCAACAGAATGTTCCGAACATGCCTCATCTAATGGAGCTTAAATAAAAACAGAGAACAGGAGCTATTATCATCCTATTATCATTTTTTAAACACCATATATGATATTTTCGCGCACACAAGTTACATCTGCTTATCTCTCAGCATGAGAAAACGTCTGTTTTCCGTCTTTTAGTTTTAAAACAGACCGATTCGCGGCACAGCGCGAGTTTGCGAGCGTCAATACAGTGTAAACTGATGGATATACAGAATCATACCTGAGACAGAAAACTAATAAATACAGTAATATTCCCTCCTCACTGCGGAAACTGTAGGCTTCCACACAGACGCACACACATCAACATATCTCCGCATGAGAAGCGTTTATTAGACGGGGGGAAGGGCGGGGTCTCAAAATTAAAGATGAAAGATGCAAGATAACGCCAGTAGGGGTCACTCATACTTCATTAAATAAATAACAAACAGTTAATTTTGCCGAAATACATAATACACGGAAAAGTTTTGATGCTTTTATGTTGCTAAGGGTGGTTGCTAAGGGTGGTTGCTAAGGGTGTTGCTCAGTGATACACAGAACCATTGGGTGAAGCGGTCATAGCCCTGCTGTATCGTGAATAAAGCACAGCTGCTGACCAATCAGAATCGAGGAACAGAACTAACCATTTTATAAGTTGTGTACAAGCGACTAGAAGAGATGACTGAAGAAGCAGTTTTAAGAATTTCAATTGTGATGTACTACAGCAAATGAGAAAAAACTGTAAGTAAGTAAGAGTCCCAGAGCATTTCAGGCTTTTCATAATTAAAAGTCCTGCATTATGCATACAATCTTTTTCTTTCCCCATTATTATTGGTATTTTTGTTACACAATAATTTGTATCTAGCAATTAATCCAACGTAAACTCTTATGGGTTCTCTCTGTAATACAAATGAAAGACTACCAGCATTATTTAACACAATCAGTATATGGATTTCTCTAGTATCAGCGCAATAATCTGTTCATTGCCTTGCTCTAAAAATAGTATTATTGTATCAGTAACATCTCAAAATGACCCACCTCTAATTTTTGTGTATTTATGTATTAGTATTTAAAAACCAGGTATAGTACACATGTTGAATAAAACAGGTTTGAGTAAGCTCAGGCTATAGTTACCCAGTTTTGCAGTAGAATGTGGCCCCAATCCGTTTAATTAAACAGTATGATAGTATAGGTTCATTCTGCACAGACATACAGTGTTAATTTTATTAGTGCAAGTCTTTTTAAAGGGATAGTCCACCCAAATAAATAAATTAATCCTTCAACGTTTACTCCTGTTGCTCCAAACGTGCATGACTTTCTTTCTTCTGTGAAATGTAAAAGAAGATATTTTGAAGAATGTTGGTAACCTAACAGTTTTGGTTCCCATTTACTTTCATTGTATGAGCAAAAATTACAGTGGAAGTCAATGCGAACCAAAGCCGTTTGGTTGCTAACACTTTTCTTTAACATCTCTATATGTTCCTCGGGAGAAAGGAAGTGACACATTTTTGGGTGAATGCTTTGAAATATAATTTTAAACAAGGGGTTGAGCGCTGGTTGTCTGTATGTACTGTAGGCTGGCTCTGGAGAGGGCCGACAGTGCGGAGCGGGCTGTAGACGTGATAACACAGCTGCTGGAGCAACACGGCCAGGGAGGGAACTGTATGGAGGATGAGTGTGGATTCACATACCATAACAGCTTCCTCATATCAGACCGCACAGAGGCCTGGGTGCTGGAGACTGCTGGGAAATACTGGGCAGCAGAGAGAGTGGAGGGTAAATACTGAGTCATGCCACATTACAGCTTCAAACTGAAATCAATCAAAGCGTTTAATGCTGTTTCCCTCTCTTAAAGCCGGCTATAGGAACATCTCCAACGAGTACTCCATCACTACTAAGATCGATAAGGAGCACGCGGAGTTGAGGACGTACGCACAGCAGCAGCGCTGGTGGAATGGAAAGGCTGAGTTCAGCTTTGCTAAGGTTTACTCCTACTCAACCACGGCCCGGATCGAGGCGGCAGAGGGACGCTACTGTGAGGGACGCAAACTTCTGCAGAAGAGCGAGGGTGACTGTCAGATTGGTGGTAGAAAGTGATCTGCAAAATCATGCAAAGTGCTAAATAATCTACTCACACATTCATGCCAGTGTAATGGGATGATTGTGACTACTAGTGAACACACCTAAGTGAATTTGTGTTTATGATGCGGGATCAAAAGGCTTTTGCTCACATGCTTGACATGAGGTTTATAGACTGATAATAAGAATAGTGCCTTTCTTTACAAAACTAAAATGAAAATGTAATGTTTGTTGGCTTTTGGTGAATGTTGGGGTCTCAGTGAACATGGGAATTCCTTCAGTCTAGACAAAGTTTTCTTTTTAGAATTAAAATAGTTTATAATTTGATTATTTGGTGTAAGAATCTGGACAAAGAAGCTCAAAATTAAGAGAATTGATCATTTTGAGTACGCCATCTATTCATATAACCATTTGTGATATTTCATCGTTTTAATGACTTTACTTTTATTTGAATGTAGAAAACAGTAATAAAAAACAAATGGATTTGTCCAAACTTTTGACTGGTACAGTAGATCACTGTAAATTGCTATTTAGGATTGTATAGTAGATTATGTATTTTGTATAGGTTATTTATGGAGAGTTCTAATGTCATTATACTGTCCTACAGGCCACATCACAGCAGAGAGCATGATGGATATTTTGAGGGATAAGGAAAGTGGAATCAATATGGAGGGAATGTTCATGACTACAGGAAGTATGGTGTCTGTCATCCCGAAAGACCAGAATTTACCTGGCGTCCACTTCTTCACTGCTACTCCAGACCCTGACAGGTACAGTACAGCCGGTGACACTTTACAGTAGGGATGCACCGATACTGGTATCGGGCCCGATACTGGTCTCCTGTACTCGTACTCGTACTCGTTAAAATGCCCCGATACCAAACGCCGATACCACACAGCATGTGATAAGCGCCATATTCAGACAATGAAACACCGACAACAGACAGCAGAATGGAGTTAAGGATGTCTAATACGAAGTATATGTATGCAATGAATATAACATTAAACATTCAGTATTAACGCCTGTATAGCTGATGAGCGCGAGCTGATTAACAAAGCACGCTGAGTGGATTGAGCGCGCGGCGGTACTTTTCTGGACCTTGAACGTGGTAGTTACCTTGCTGTCTATGGGAGAGTCAGAGAGCCCTCAGATTTCATCAAAAATATCTTAAATTGTGTATGCAACAGTTCATTACTAGTTCATGTTAGCTCAATTCCATTTTTTAATAATGTATTTACAAATGTTGAAATTTACATGAACTTAGATTAATAAATGCAATAAAGTATTTTACATTGTTAGTTCATGTTAACTAATGTAGTTAACTTTAAAAAAAAAAATGGAACCTTATTGTAAAGTGTGACCTTAAATCCTAATGTTACTATGGTAACACTTTACAATAAGGTTCCATTAGTTAATTAGTTACAATGAACAATACATTTATTACAGTATTTATTAATCTTTGTTAATGTTAATTAATGAAAATACAGTCGTTCATTGTTAGTTCATGATAATTCACCGTGCATTAACTACTGTTAACAAACACAACTTTTGATTTTAATAATGCATTAGTAAATGTTGGAATTAACATTAGCTAAGATTAATAAATGCGTTAGAAGTATTGTTCATGCTTAGTTCATGTGAACTAAAGTAGTTAACTAATGTTAACTAATAAACCTTATCGTAAAGTGTTACCGTTACTACAGATTAAACATGATTTTTAAGATAAATTGTGACCCTGGAGCACAAAACCAGTCTTAAGTCGATGGGGTATATTTGTAGCAATAGCCAGAAATACATTGTATGGGTCAAAATTATCGATTTTTCGTCGGCGCCCATGGCCTTGTGGTTAGTGCGTCGACAACTGCGCTCACGGCGACCCGAGTTCGAATCCCGCCTCGAGGTCCTTTGCCGATCCTGCTCCCTTCTCTCCTCCCAGTGCTTTCCTGTCAGCTCTCTACTGTCCTCTCAAAATAAAGGCATAAAAAGACCATAAATATAACTTTAAAAAAAAGAAAAAGAAAATAAAAAAATTATCGATTTTTCTTTAATGCCAAAAATCATTCGGATATTAAGTATAGATCATGTTCCATGAAGACATTTTGTAAATATCCTACCGTAAATATATCAAAAATGTATTATCATTAGTAATATGCATTGCTAAGAACGTCATTTTTGACAACTTTAAAGGTGATTTTCTCAATATTTAGATTTTTTTTTTTGCACCCTCAGATTCCAGATTTTCAAATAGTTGTATCTCGGCCAAATATTGTCCTATCCTAACAAACCATTCCATCAATGGAAAGATTATTTATTCAGTTTTCAGATAATGTATAAATTTCAATTTCACAAAATTTACCCTTATGTCCAGGGTCACAATTGTCAATCATTTCCTGTTGTGATTTTCAATTAAATAAGTTAATATACTATTACTAATACTAGTGGCGTTTGCTTTGGCAAGCATTACTATTATTATTTCTCATAATTTATTTGTTCTTTTTGGCTGGTGGACAACACAACATTTCTGCAAAAAATTTTAAAATCGAATTATCGGTGAATTGCTCCATTATCAAATTCATGCAACCGTAAACCTGCATATGTCTTGTTTTTTTTTTTTTTCTCCACAGGTCTGTCTTTAAGCCGTTTATTTTTGTAGTGGACATAAAGCAGCTGAAGCATACGTGTTCTCCGTGTTTTGGAGAGGAGGATCCTGTGAAGAAGAAACCCCGTTTCCAGAGCAAACCCAACCGCAAACACCCTCTGTTTCTGAAACACGAGGTGGCCGCCGCCATCATCGACAGCACCAGGGTGAGCGGTTAAACAGAACGCTTGTGGCTAAAATATCACAACGTAGTCGCAGTGCACAAAGTGTTTTAAGAGTGGCGGTATTTATTAAGCAAGCTCTGCTACTAAGTTCACATGCAAAGACGTTAGCCAATCATAACAAAGGTCATTAGCATGGAAAACATATAATAAATAAAATAGCCAAAACTGTTTGTTTTGGAGAGGTGGTGGGAAATCCTCATGAAAAACTAACTTACAAATGTTGTTCTGTGCAAGAAAGTGCAGGGATTGGGCTTTTTAATTTATTTGAACTAATGATAAATGTTTATAATCTGATATGATGAGGCATTATTGTGTGTGTGTTCAGGAGAGAGGAGAGCGGATCGTAGAGAAAATGAGAGCTCTGGAGAAGCAGAAGCTGGCAGAGATGGAGAAATATCTCACTGAGGGGATTGAAGATGCAACGCTGCCGGTTCATCTCTTCACAGACACTGTAGATGAGGAGTTTAGTATTTACAGCAGCGCCTGAGACTCCAATTCTAAAAACGTGTTTAGAATTAATTGGATTATTAGGTGTTTCTTTAACTATGGGCACTCTGGACCTGTGGACACTAAAGCACACTTCTTCACCTGTTTAACAAAATTGAAGCTTGGAATAGAGGCATAATAAAAATATTCGGTTACACTTTATTTTAAGGTGTCCTTGTTACAGTGTAATTATGCATTAAAGTACTGTGTAATATTAATTAACTACATGTACTTACTATATGGTTTGGATTAGGGTCACTTGCATGTAATTATGCATAATTAATTGTTATTATAATAGTAAGCACATGTAACATGTGTAACAAGGACACCTTCAAATAAAGTGTTACCAGATATTCAGCTCACAATTGATATGAACAGAATATTTTATTGTGTCCGATTTCTCTTTACATCATATGCCTCAAAATTAAATTCAAAATTGAAGGTCTTCACTGATACTAGATATATTTTATACTGATACTAAACTATATTTATGTAACATAAATACCCTTTTCTAATATTTACCATGTAATTATTCACAATTTTATAATAAATTTTTATTAAGATTCAGCCTGTTAACACTTTACAATAAAGTCCCATTATAAAATTGTGAATGATTACATGGTAAATATTAGAAAACGGTATTTATGTTACATAAATATAGTTTAGTATCAGTATAATATATATATA